AGCCGCCTCCAAACAACAAAAAAATCCTGTCTTAAAATGGACTCAAATTTGATTTTCTTTTTTGGTACCAGGGATCAAACTCAGGACCTCACACTTGCAAGGCAGGCAGCAGTCAAATTTGATTTTTGAGTGGCTGGAGACATAGCTCAGTGGTAGAAAGCTTGCCTAGCACCCTCAAGGCCTGCGGTTCGATCCTCAGCACTAAAAAGAAAGTGATTTCCATGGCGTCAGTGATTTTGCATTTACGTGTCGATGATTCTCAAGAATGCACCTGGACGAGAGGGGACAGAGCTGAGGATGGAGGACAGGACGGCACAGAGGAGAGCCAGGGTCGCCCCCCCCCCCCCCCGTCTTTCTCCTCCTTTCTCATCAGTCTTCACCCAGCTCACATGCACCTCCAAGAAGTCCTCTGTGCTTTCAAAATCGGGACTTGGTGGAGCATGGCAGTCTACGCCTGTCATCCCAACACTCAAGAGGCTGAGGCAGGAGGATCACCTACCTCAAAAAGCAAAACAAAAACAATCATCACTTGCATGACCCTTATTTGGCCTTTGTATTTTTTTTTTTTTCCATACTGGGGATTGAACTCGGGACCTTGTGCTTTTGAGGCAGGCGGTGGAACCACTGAACTAAATCCCTGGCTCCCAGTCTTTGTATTTCTCGACCACATATAGCAGTATAACCTGCTCAATAATAGTGTGTGTGTGTGTGTGTGTGTGTGTGTGTATATATATATTTTTGGTACTGGGGATCGAACTCAGCACCTTGTGCTTTCAAGGCACGTGACAGCACCACTGAGCTAAATCCCCATCCATATATATATATATATATATATATACATATATTTGAGATTGCGTCTTGCTATGTAGTCCAAGCTGGACTTGAACTCACTATGTACCCCAGGCTGGCCTCAAACTTGTAATCCTCCTGCCTCAGCTTCTTGAGGACTTGGATTTCAGGTGTGTACCACCATTCCTGGCTCCGATAACTATTTAAAAATGTTTTTGAGTAATGCATTTACAGTGCCTTAAAATTCAAGCCAATTAAACACCTGTGGGTGTATGCTCTTGTACTCTCTTAATCACATCCCACTTCCACAGCTCACAAACACTTCTGTGGGTTTGTTGTGTCTTCTAGAGAGTTTCTTCATGCAAATGTAGATGCCAGTCTATTATTTCTCCATCTCTGTTTCTTTCTTCCTGTGCTGGGGATTGAACCCAGGGCCTCACATACACTGGAACTTGCTAGGCAAGCACTCCACCACTGGGCTATGCACCCCAGCACCATCTGTTTTCTTACACAGAAGGTAGGTAAATACATACAGTCTTCTGTGCTTTATTCTATTTAATTTATCAATACATCTTGGGAATATTCCATATTGGATCCGAGAGGAACTTCTCATTCTGTCTTGAAAGCTTTGTAAAATTTAGAGATTTCTATTACCGGCATCTCCTAGTGTATTTATCCAGTTCCACTAATGATGGGCATTTGGGTCAGCTGTGATGCGTGGGGGACATATGCCGACTGGTGTCCTGTGTGCGTAACTCTGGATATGTTCTCTAGCAGCAGATGGAGGGGTCAGAGATCAAAGCACTTGTAATGTTCAGAGAGAAAGTGCCAAGTTGCTTGCTGTAGAGATTCCAGCGATTCATACTCCCACCGGAAATATACCAGCAGCCACCCACAGAGAGGTGAGAAGAGAGCAAAGGCTCAGCACTGGGCACACAAAGCCGCCGCGCGAGGTAGCACCTGCCTGTGGTCTCAGCTGCTGGGGAACTGGAGGCAAGAGGATTGCTTGAGCCAGGAGTTCAAGCCAGCTTGAGCAACGTTCAAGACCCTGCACTAAAAAGCAGAAGCTAAAGAAATAGTTACTAATAAAATGTTTGCATGAGAGCTATCAGGGCCGGTGATTGAGCTCAGTGGTTCCGTTGCCTGCCTCCCAAGCACAGGGACCCGAGTTTGATCCCCAGTACCAAAAAAGAGTTATCAGAGCTGGGACACTATTTTAGGGCAAATTTATAGTTTGGATTTGTGATAGCTGTGTGGCATTTTCATGGGTTATAATGCACCTTTTTTTTTTTTTTTTTTTGCTACCAGGGATCAAACTCGGGACTTTGGGCTTGCAAGGCAGGCACCAGAACCACTGAGCTCAATCCCTGGCCCAATAATGCACCTTTTGATCAGTCCACTTGGGTCCATAAGATCATAATATTGCCCATTTCCAGCCATTTTATACTATTTGGAACAAAACTGTGCTGCCTGAAGCTCTAGAAGTTTACAGGTGTCATGGCTGTTTTCCGAATCACATTCTTGGTCAAGCACACAATTCGTTACTGTGACTTTATGGAAGCATTTCTCACATTGTGCTTGGCTTTCTTTTGGGACTTCCAAGAAGTTAGTATGGAAAAAGGCAGAGGTGATCTTCTGCAGCCCTTGCCCTTCGTGTCGTCACTTTTCCACAGGAAGGACAGTAACCAGAGAAGAGCCTCCCTTGTGCAGAGGGCCGTGGAAGTGGGCTCAGCGGTGTCTTCCTTTGTGTTCTGTCCCTTCTGGACTCATGGACATGTGTCTTTTTTTTTTTTTTTTTGTACCAGGGATCGAACTTGGGTCCTCGCACTTGTGCAACAGGCAGTGAAACCACTAAGCTAAATCCCTGGCCCTGGGCATGTGTGTCTTTAAGAATCTTTTTATTTTTTCCCCCAAAACAACTCATGTTCTTTTTCCTCCTATTCCTAAAAGAAACTAAACCAGAGCAACAGATCCCAGGAGGAAAAGGTTTCTAGCAATGGAGGCCATAGCTTCAAAAATAAATAAAGGGAGAATTGTGGAAACACAGAAGTCTTGGGCCACAGATTGTATCCGTGACAACATGGTCCCCAGGGACCTGTGCGACAGTGAGTGTTTACAGCGGTGACCTTAAATCTTCCAGCGAAGTCTGCTTGACATTCAGCATATTTTCAGAAGGCAATGAAGCGTGCTGTTTACCTCAGCCAAACTTTCCTCCATGCTAAAAAATAAAGTTTTGGTGCTTGTACAAGGCAAGTTTAATTCAGTGATTTTGTTATTTTTCAGTGTCTCAAATGCATGTATGAATTGATGAGTGCCTTGGCTTATTCCAGCAAAGATGGAAAGTGATTTATAAGAATATAGAAAAAGCGAACAAGAAGGTAAAACGGAAAGTGAAGAGGAAGAAGCAAACCAAGGTGTCGACATGAAGTTGACCCAAGAGATGCATTTTCTGCAAAGCTACTGTGTGTAGACCACTGCATTCCTGCTGAGTACTGCTCATTATTTGATCAGGTGTCAATCTGGGGAGGGCTGGTGGTGTAGCTCCGTGGCAGCAGACTCAATATCTTCAATTAGATAGCAGCATATTAGGGGGGGAACAAGGTTTAAAGATGAGCTAACCTCTCATGCAAATGTAACATATTTTGTTCTATTTCCATGGTGCTGGGGATCGAACCGGGGCCTCATGCATGCTAAGTACATGCTGTACCACTGTGCTACATCCAGCTCCCAAATGCAATCCTCATATCCTACTTAAAAAGCAGTAATTTTTCCAGGAGCTTGTTTGGAGAGGCTTACGGGGTTCTCAGCAGGTTTGTTCCTATTCCTGTAGAAGGGAAGTTTTCTCCTGAAGGATATTTGTCTATAGGGAAAGAGTTTGGGCTTTGGAGTCATGCAAATGTGTGGATTTGATCAGGGTACCCGAGAAATGGTGTGGGAGAGTTCTCTGAAGCTTTTTCAACATGGTTTCTTTACTGCAAGTGGAGCTAACAGGCGTGTATGGAAGATTGAGAAACAGACTGGACATTAAGCACTTAGTTTAGCAGCTGATACCTAGCAAAATTAATACACCATACCCATTATGATAGAAACTGGGATTGTCCAGGACATTTCACGTTTATATGACACAAGTCTCTGTTTCATTAGTGTCTTGTTCAAGTTTCTAGCCTAATTTTCCTACCCACAAATTTTACTTAACTTCATTGTTGTGAATGTGTTCAGAATTTCATTATGAGAAAATTCACATGAAAACTAGTTTTATTGCCTGGTATTATTTTCTTGCTGATTGTTTCCCAGCATGTGCAAATGGTATTTTCGTTTTCATTGATATATTTAAACGGGAAACTATATTTGTATCCATCGTGATTTCTTCTTTTCATTCATCCCCAGATACATTGTTAATCACCCCAGGGTGTGTACAAAGTCTCATCTGAATAGCTCCATCATGTGTTTAGAGTAAGTTTTACAGTTATAAAAGTTGCTTCCACTTCATAGCCACTGTGGCCTTGAATAAGAATAAATATCCATAGCCAGGCATGGTGGTGCACACCTGTTACCACAGCACTTGGGAGGCTGAGGCAGGAAGATTGCCATGAGTTTGAGGTCAGCATGGGCTACATACTGAGTTCAAGGTCAACATGAACTGCATAACGAGGAGACCCTATCTCAAGAAACAACAACAAAAAAATCTCCAGGCCTGGAAGGATAGCTCAGTGGTCAAGTACCTGCTTAACATGTACAAGGCTGGGGTTCACTCTCCAGCACAAAAATAAAATAAGATTAAAAAATTGAAACATTTAAAAATCACCAAAACAAAGACCATATTATGGAGTCCTCTGAAAATACATTCAAACCAGGGAAATCGGGAAAGTACCTATTTTGCAAGGTGAGTGGTTTTTGTTGTGTGTTTATGGTACTGGGGATTGAAAGCGGGAAGCACTGAGCTGCAACCCCAGCCCTTTTTATTTCGAGATAGGGTTTCACTGTGTTGTCAGCCTGGTCTCAGACTTGTGACCCTCTTGCCTCAGTCTCCTGAGTAGCTGGGGTTAGGTGTGCCACAATGCCTGGCAAAGGCGAAGATTTTTAAAAATATAACTTGGCCAAAATTCTAGGGTGATCATAGCATTTATCATTCCAAGTAGGACTCTGGGGGAATGAAAACGAGGTGCATGCGGGAAGCTCACTGAAAGCTGGGTGCATGCCTGTAGTCCCAACACTGGAGAGGCTGAGACAGGAGGATTGCTCCAGGCCAGGAGGCCAAGCCCAGCCTGAGCAACACAGTGAGACTTCACCTTGAAAAAGAGAGCTTGAGGGCCGGGGATTTAGCTCAGTGGTTCCACTGTCTGCCTTACAAGGGAAAGGTCCCGAGTTTGATCCCTAGTACCAAAAAAAAAAAGAGAGAGAGAGAGAGAGGAAGGTCATTGAGAAAAAGACACAAACCAAGACTCCCGAAGGTAATCAGGACTTACAGTCCCCCTAGCCAAAACTGAAATACAGCTCCCTAAACTGGGGAGGTGGTTCACGAGATTACAGGCTGCATCACATGATACTATACAATCCTGTTCCACATTCAAACTGTGAATTAGTGGGTTCTGTTTTGAGAAACCAAGCGGAGCCCCTGCTTTTAGCATTAGGCTCAGTTCTAATCTGTCTGCTTCAAGAAAAGTACAGTGAGGCCGGGGATTTAGCTCAGTGGTTTGGCCGCCTGCTGTGTAAGCTCAAGGACCCGAGTTCAATCCCCAGTACCAAAAAAAAGAGAAAAGTACAGTGATAGGCAAAGACCCAGAGACACTAGATGAGGTGTGGCTCCTAATGTTCTGGCAGACGTGGCAGTGGGGAGAATTCTGTGAGAGCTCTGAACTCACTGTGAAGGGAAAGGCACACAGAGAGCCTCACAATGCTGCATCCAATCTCACCCAGGGCCCTGGGTGAGACTTCCTAGCCTAGCTCATACTGGATGGGGGACGGGACAAAGGGCTCACAGCTGGTGACCATCTTCACACACACTGCACTTTACACTCACATCAGCCTACTGTACACAGAAGAGAACTGAAACTTGGGGAAATCAGGATGTCACAGGTAGGGTGGGGACGTAGCTCAGTGGCAGAGCACTTGCCTATTGTGCATGGGACCCTCAGTTCAAATCCCAGCACCACAAAAACAAACAGAAAATGATCTCACAGAGCTGGTTAAATGGAAAAGCCAGACTTCAAATTCATAAAAATTTATATATATTATATATATAATTTATTAATCTTTATATACAAAATATATAATCTGAAAGGGATTATAGTATAAAATCATGAAAAGTGATCATAAGCGTGTAGCCTCATCAAAGTCTCACTTATTAAAACTGGGATCATCTCTTGAAATCGGAAAGAGATTATTAGGGCAAATAAAAGTAAAATTTCTTTTTTCTTTGGTGGTAGTGGGAATGGAACCCAGTGCCTCACACATGCTAGGAAAGTGCTCTACCGCTGAGCTCTAGCCACAGTCCTTTTAATTTTACTTTGAGACAAAGTCTTGCTAAACTGTCCAGGCTGGCCTTGAACATGTGATCCTCCTGCCTCAGCCTCCTGTGGACCTCCCTGTGACTTTTATTTATTTACCTGAGATAGTATCTATTTAGCTCAGGCGGGCCTCTAACTCATGATCCTCCTGCCTCAACCTCTTGAAGCCTGGCCCCTCCAGCCCCCATCATTTGAGATTTAAAAAAATTTTTTTTAAATGTTTTAGCTGGGCATGATTACCATGCCTGTAATCCGTGCATTTAAGAGGCTGAGACAGGAGGATCACAAGTTTGAGGTCACCCTGGACTACTTGCAAGACCCTGTCTCAAAAAAACAAACAACAACAACAAAACCTTAAACGATAATGCAAGTGACAAATGGCTGCAAGGTAGTTTTCAATAAATCCAAGATCGGCAGACTATCAGTGGATTATTAAGAGAGGGTTCAGTGTTTTGTGTATCCTTGAATCAAACGTGGGCACAAAAGCTTGAAGCCCATGTCAGTCCAGCTCCTAATCAGGGCTGACCATGACTCTGACAGTATGCCACTTCCAACCTGAGTGGTGTTTCTTGTCTTACTAGAAAGCTCCGATCCTCCTTTAGGAAATCTGTTCATGACTTCCGAAGACACGAGAGTAGTATTTGGAGGCTGACAGCCCCAGTAAGATCTGGAGTCCCATGTACCCTTGGGCCGTGCCGAAGAAGCAGCAATGCTTAAGTCCCATGCTAGTTCCTTTCTCTTTCCCCTACCAATTGCTGCCCCGTGGATCTTCTGCCCTGAACAGAGTTCCCAGTATAGCAGGTCCTTGCACAAAACTAGTGGCACACGTTATTACTGTTTTATTTGTCTGTTTTTTTGAGACAGGGTCTTGCTGTGTTGCCAAGCTGACCTCAAACTCCTAGGGTCACGCGACCCTCAGGCTCCCGAGTGTCTGGGACTACAGGTGCATACCACCATGCCCAGTTAATGCTTTTCAATTTGTCATCTGTCTCCCCACTTCTAAAACCGCAAGCTCAGCAAGGACCAGTTGTGTCTCTGGTGTGGCCCGTGTCCCATGGTGGGCATTCAGTTACATTTGTTTCTCTGCGTAAGTGAATAATAACTAAAATGATTTGATTTGTTTCCAGTTTAAAAAACAGATATAATTCACATGCTATAAAAAATGTGTATCTCAGGAGTTTTAGTATATTCCCGAAGTTTTATAACCATGACCATTGTCTCATTTCAGAACAATTTCCTTGCCTCAGTAAGAACCCATACCCATTAGCAATTACTCCCTCCCTGGAGCACGTGGCGACAGGTAGCCCATTCATTGTGCGGCTCCAGCACATTGATTGTTTTACCCTTTCTGGGCAAGGTGATGTTAAGAAAGTTCCTTCCCAACTCTATGATCTAGTATTCAAGTAGGAGGTGACCGCCCAGCTCCAGAAAGTGTCCAAATCTTACCTTCCAGGTTCTAGGACAGCCCCAGGTGACATCCTCAGGCTTTTACACAGTAAAATCAGACCCCCTACCCTACTTCCCCACCCGGGTACTGCTCGCCCACCTGACTTCTGGCACTGGGACGCGGTCCGATGTTCTGCGTGCTGGCAGGCAGGGCTGCCCGCGCCGGGGTGCGCCTTCTCCCCGCCTCTACCTGCGCGCCTTCGCCCATAACACCCCCTCTCCGGGCTTCCTTTGTTTCCCAAGGAAATCCAGGTAAAAGGAGGGGACGGGGAAGATATTTTTGCCTTTCCTCACAATCCAGACTTAGGAAAGAAAAAGGATTTTCTTGGGCTGCTGCCAGGACGCTGATCTTTATGCTGATAAAAGATCTCCTTTACAAAAATAAAAAATTTAAAAAGCTTCTAGCAAAGTCTGGCGACATAGGTCCGGGCGCTGGCCCTGCGTCTCCCGCAGCTGCTGCCCTGGCGGCCGGGTAGCCGTGTCCCCGCAGCCCGGGGAGCGCGGACTACAGGACCCAGAGGGCCCCGGCTCTCCGACCGCTCCGCGTTGTTGGCCGCGCCGGCTTCCCCGAGCGGTGACGCTGCGCCCCGCGCGCTGATTGGCCGGGCGCGCGCCGACTTCTCCATTTATGGCCAGGCCGCCGGGTCGGGCCGAGCGCAGCCGAGCAGCCGAGCGCGCGGCGGGGAGCGCCGCGGGGACCTGGGCGCAGCGCGGAGCTGGGCGCCCGACGCCGGGCCGAGCGCACCGGTGCCCGATCGTGCGCCGCGCCTGCCGAGCCCGGGTGCCGCCCTCACCTAGCGCCGACCCCCGTGCATAGGGTCTCCCCTGGGTTCCCATTGGCTCTTGTGAGCGCTTGGGTGTCGGGAGCCTGATTTTGGCGACTGGAACCAACTTTTGAAGTTCGCCCCGAGACTGCGGTCCAGTCCCGGCTCGCTCGCACACAGGCGGCAGGGCCGGCCGGGCGGAGGCGCGGGTCACCATGGTGAGTCTGGCCGGGCCGGGCCGGGCGGGGGCCGGGGCGCGGGGCTCCCCGCTCTGCGTCGCCGGGGTTGGGGGAGAGGATCAAGGGGCCGAGGAAAACTTTCCTTCAAGTCCCCAAACTTTCCGTGGCCGGTCGCGGCGGCTGCCGGCTGTCCGGGCGACGGGGGCACATCTGTCCCCTGGGGCGCAGGTGAGGCCGCACCTGGCGGGGCGCTCGGGGCCACCTGGCCGACGACCAGACCCTGCCCGCGCACGGCCGGGACTCCGGGTTCGCGCGCAGCGGCGTTCACCAGTGCAGGGGTCCTCGGCTGGCTCCCCGGTTAGCACCTGGGGCGCAGGGACGCGGCCGCCTCGCTCGTCTGTGACTCTCTTGCTCCCTTGCGATCGCAGCCCAGCCGCACCCCCCTCCCGCCCCATTAACCTCAGCCACAGCCCTCCGGCTCCCGGGTGGTGTCGTTTTCCTTCTGAGACACAAAAGCACGAACTCTTGTTTTCAAGAGATTGGCAACCCTTCAGAAGAGAGGGGGGAAAAGTTCTACAAGGTTTCCTAGTTTCCACCCTTGCTTTTTTTTTTTTTCTCCTTTCCCCAAATACTCCCGCCCAGGTGGATGAACGCGTCCTCTTCTAGGTCGGGGGTGTTTAGGCTCTGTGAAAGTGAAGCTAAGGGAAAAGATACCCGGCAGGGCGCTCTCTGAGAACCCCTGACCCGCCCGACCAGTCTGCCGGAAGAGCAAGAGCCCAGGGCACCGACTCCCCAGCCCAGACGCGGCCTTGGACCCAGCGCTCAGTATGAGAAAACTCAAAAAACAAACAAAACCTTTAAAGGACATTCTTGACCAGACCTTTTACTTTTTACATAGTCCAAAATTATGTCACCTTTGCTCCATCTGAGAGAAAACTTATCTGTAAATAAACTTATTCCTCCAGTTTTGAGGGTTAAGAAGTCAGCCTGCTCCATGTTATTTTTTGAAGTCTACAGAAAACCATTTACGTTGGGCGTGCTTTCAGTGGAGTGACTGAGTTGGGCACCTGGCCACCACAGTGGTCCTAGCTCTTTAAAACTGCTGTATTTTCTGCGGTTCAATATTTCTAAAAAAAAGGAAGGAAAGAAGGAAGGAAGGAAAGATGTTTGTATCAAGAGCTTAAGGAATCTTACCAAATTTAATTACTGGAGTGGTACCTTGAGAAAGTTAACTCTCCCTTCTTAAACTCGTTCTTGCTGAGCAGACTGAAAAGTAATCCAGGATGGCTGATTTTGGAGACCTGGAAACTCCATGGTCAGTTTGCCTGCACAGCTGTTGAATTAAATGTTTGGTGGAATGGATGCAGAAGAGTCCTACCTGAGGCCTTGCCAGAACCGACTTACTGCAGGACAGGTGTGACTTACCTGTCCACGGGCTCCCTGCCGTCCACACAGATGGGCATGTTTTGGGCGCCAGGAGACTATCTGCCATCAGACATGGTTCTTGAGGCCACAGTTCCCTGGCGGAAGAGTTGAAACAGCTGGCTATCCTGAAATCGGGGCTGTGCCCTTGATAGATCTCCCAGATCCACTGTAATTTGGCCAAAATTAAATGAATCGTTTCTTCCCTGACTTGAAAAGTTCTCTTCATTAGATACTGCTGCTGCCTTACAAGGGAGCACGAACGTCTTACATAATTAGAAATCCCTGTTATAATCTTATATGAGAGCCGGGGATTTAGCTCAGTGGTTCTGCTGCCTGCCTTGCAAGCACAAAGTCCTGAGTTCGATCCCTGTACCAAAAAAAAAATCTTATATGAGTCCATGGAGCCAAATGAAGCTTCATTTTGTGTCCCACACCTGTATGGACCTGCCTGCTTGTATCTCTCAGCTTCTCCGAACCGGAAGGGAAGGGATGATTCCATCCACGGGTGTGGCCAAGAGTTAGCAGGAGCACAGGTCCTTGTAGGACGAACACCTATGCCATGGACATGTGTGTGTGGTCTTTGAGGAAGTTTGGTAGCACAGAAAGGCTCTCCATTTGTACCCAAGGCCTTAGCTAGACTTAGTTGTGACTCATACTCAAGACTGTCCTTTCTGACTCATGAACACAATGTACAGTAGTTCACTTCATATCGTTCTCCTGAAAACCCAATTTGAGACACTTGTTCCTCTTGGGAAAACCAAGAACATTAACAGGTAATAGTTGACTCTGTTTCCTTAGTAGACTTAATGAAGTTTTTTAAAAAACATCTCTGCACACCTTCACAATTTGGTGAGTGTTTAGGAGGAGACAGATGTCCCCTTGGCTTTAATTGATAGCAGAATACACCTAAGTTTCCTTTGTAAAATCTGGCTTTTCTCATCAACTGCAAAGGAAGATCTCCTTGTATGGCCATGACCAGTTTGGGTGGCTAGGTGGACAGAAACTCTTGTCTTTAGGTCTGGTGTGTGCTCTGGACCCAGAAATTGTGATTCTTAAGATCTCTGAACTAAATATGCAGAAATATTTGAGGAAATTTGAATTGGCCGTTACCTCAGAAAATGTCCAAAATTTGTTCCCTTTTCCTTGAGTATTACTTGTGAGTAGGTGGCAGATACTATGCGTGGAAATGCATAAGAAGAGACATACAAAGTTAGAAATCTGGGGGCCGGGGCTTTAGCTCAGTGGTTCTGCCACCTGCCTTGCAAGCACAAGGTCCCGAGTTTGATCCCTGGTACCAAAACAAAGTTAGAAATCTTGTGGATCACTGACCACAGGTAGATGGATTCCTTAGGGTGGAGGCCAAGGTATATTTTGAAAGCCTGGAATCCATTTCAAAAATGGCTGTTGGGAAGATAACCTAGTTCATTTCCACTGATTAGTTTATCAGATTGCTAGAGGTCCTCTGGCTGAAACAAAAGAATCCAACAGAATCAAATGGGAAAGGAATTGGGTGAAGCACAGATGTTTTGTTGATGACAGGGAGATTAGAAAAAGCTCTGTAGCCCAAGATACCTCCCTGGGGCAAGTGTGAGTGGACTGTCCTTGGAGGAAATGTTTGGCCAACCCAGGGCTTGCTCTCTTTGGAAAGAAGCCGAGTGGGGCAGCAGGCAGAGATGGAAAATGTGGGAGACTTTTGCAGAAGGTGAAAGCACCTCGTCAGTGGTTTAGCTGGGGGTTACAGCTTTATCAGTGGTGTAAATTTTGTGGGTGGAGGCCAGGATACAATCTGATGGGGGAGGCTGGTGTTTAGAAAGTAAATGCAGAACACTCACCCTAGGCCATGGCTACGCTGACCATATTACCAGACTGCCTTGTTCTGCCAAAGAAGCCAGAAAGCCAGATATTTGTGCTAGATCTGCCAATGTTTAAACGTCTCCTGATGTCACTTAAAGGCCACATTCATCTGTAGGTCAGCTGTCTGTAGCCAGGACTGTAAACCTCCATGTGGTGTCCTATGGACCTCTGAGGTTCCCCCCGCCCTGCCACAGCATGGCCCTCTAAATTTAAGCCACATCCACAGACATGGCAGTGGCTCTTACTGACACAGCCTCACTTCTCACTGCACCTCCCTAAAGCGGGGGAGTTGAATGGTATTTTCCATGCATAGAATCTCTAAGGTACCAAAGCAGAGAAAATCTTCATCTAGCTTCTGGTACTTGAAATTCTCCACACCCCGTGAAGCCAGCTCCCCATCCTTAGGCCTGGGCAGCAGTGACCAGCAGCGAGCATTTTATGACTTGGAATATTTCAGACTCTTTGCTCTCGTAGCCGGAGTTAGCATGGCTGAGATCACATGAGACTAAATGAAAGGAACAACATGAAGTACTTTGCATTTCCTGATGAGATGAGGACTAGAGATCATAGTTGGTAACAGCTTGTGAAAGCTCCTTTCATCAGCTTCAACCTATAGATATAATTTGAAACCTCTATGCAAGGGCAAGGTATTATGCCCAGTGTGATGGCACAGCTTAGTTCCAGCTTCTAGGAAGGCTGAGACAGGAGGGTCACTTGAGCTCAACAGTTCAAGACCAGCTTGGGCAACACAATGAGACTTTATCTAAAAAACAAAACAAAAAACCTACAACTGCAGTGTACTTTGAATATATAAAAACTATGATTTTGCAAGTTTGAGTATTCTACTTTTTTTTTTTTAATAAAGATACAATAGTTTGTGTTTTTACTGTTGTGATGAAAAGCTTAAAATTTGTGTGTTTATTGCAGTGCTGGGGTTTGAACCCAGGGGCCTTGCTTATGCTAGGCAAGTGCTCTACTATGGAGCTACAACTTAGCCCCTAATATTTTTATTTTTTCCTTACTTGGACTTGGTGTTTGCAGAGCAAATAAAGGGTTAAAGGTTAAATACCAAAGGTATTAAAAATAAACATCTCTGCCCTACAAGCACATTCTGTAATAATGGTAAACATTGTGTTTTGAATTTCAAATTCAGAATTTATTTTGGCAGAGACAGAGGTTTTTGCGATCCTAATGGAGCGTTTGTGTCTCTCCTTTTAACATATTTTTTTGACAGTCACCCTTGAGAGAAAAATCTGAAAAACCTTCTCTGAAATAATTATATTACTGTGACAAGCCATAGAACGCATACTGTGTGTCTGAGTGAACTTGACCTTCCCTTCTGAGTCGCCACCATGGGAACCTCATTGCCATTGTTCAGAGCACTTTTGCAATGGTTGTTTATGAGCTCCATAAGAAAATCTGTTTTCTTCTTACTTCCTTTCTGACCTAAAACATTAGCCACCCATCTTACTCACCAGACTTAGCACCAGCCCCTTTCAGCTGTTTTTAAAAATTACATTCTGCCTCACAGGAGGAAAAAGTAGCCCTGTTGAGGATGTGCAGTATCATGGAGAGCAAGCTATAGAGGACAAAAAGGAAGTCCCTCTTTCTGGCAACTAAGTATAGGAACTGTCCTGGTGGGTGGGGTCTGCACTGTCTTGGGTGTCAGCATCTGATGTGTGTTAAGAATTTGTTCATGGGGCTGGGGATTTAGCTCAGTGGTTTCACCGCCTGCCGCACAAGCACAAGGACCCGAGTTCAATCCCTGGTACCTAAAAAAAAAAAAAAAAAAAGAATTCGTTCATGTATTTGGTTAGTCAGTTTGCCATCACTGTGACCCAGTACCTACCATAAACAGCTTAAAGGAGGAAAGATTTATTTTGGCTCACAGTTTCAGAGGTTTCAGTCCATGGTCATCTGTCTCCCTTGCTTTTAGGCCTGTGCCAAAGGAGAAACATCATGGAAGAAGGGCATGGTGGGAGAAAACTGCTCACTTCCTGGCAGCCAGGAAGCAGAGAGTAGGAAAGAGCTAGATAGGAAGGGCTGGAGATCACCCATAATCTCCAGGTTCATGTCCCCATGATCCACCCCTTTCAACTAAGCCCTACTTTCCTAATTGCCCTTATCACCCAGTAATGCCATTTAATTATGATCTCATCTATGTATTAATCCACTGATGAACTGAGAGCTGTCATAATTTAATTACTTTCCAAGAGCCCCACCTCTGAACTCATGAGACTTTCAGGATACTTTTTCAATATAAACTATAAAATTACTTGTAATCATAAACTACATTATAGAAACATACACTGCATGACTTCCTAGCCAGGTCTAAAGGGGTTAAATGACTTCTGAAGACTCAGAGCTAGTTTATAGTGAAGCTGGTAGCAGAGTTTTCTGATCTCAGTCTAATAAGACTTTTCTCACCAAATGAGGATGGATTAGAGTTTGTTTCTTTAAGAGTCTAGACATGAGCGGGTAGTTTGCTGGGACCATTCAAGAAGGCCTGCTTGTAGATGGAAGGTTGTTACTTATTTTTGATTTATTACTATGTCAATATCAATTCTAAAAGACGATAAAAAATAAACTTAGAAGAATTCATCGTAATACCATTATTTGCCAACACAATAATTATTTTTATGCCTTTGGGTTTCTTTCCAATCCAAACACACATTGCTTTTATGTAGTTGTAATTATGAGGCAACTATATAATCTGTGCTCTGCATTTTTCCCCTTGTTTTCTACACCCTTCTCCTTGGTAAGCATATTTATCATATTTTGGTGGCAGGATAATCCCATGTAGCCCGATTGCCCAACCTGAGCCCTAACTGTACAGAGATAGATGTTCAGGTGTGTTTTGAGAGGAGCGTTCCCCCTTGAGCATGGTATAGCTGCTGTGGTGAGTAATGGGTTGTTCAGCCTTCTGTGGCGTCCGTGACATGGATCCCCTTTTTAGTGTCGAGTTGGAGAAGGATGGGCAAGTTTGATGTGCACACCCCACACCCCTAGGCCCTGACCCAAAAGTGTGTACTGGGTCAGGAAGGCTCACTTGGTGCCCCTGCTAATGGATGGCTTAAGAGAGGACCTTCTGTACTCTCTGTGTGTCTCAGCTGAGAGATGCTTCAGGGATGACAGCTCTCAGTACAGTGCTGGGGTGAGGACTGGCAGAGCTCAGTGGCTGGTGAGAGGAGAGGATGAGATAGAAGCTTAGTCCCTGGGGTGAAGTTTCACTGGTCCAGCAGGCTTTGCAGGATGCTAGTGCTTGCCAGTTATGCCTCCTGCCCTTGACCACCAGGTCCTATGGCCTTTGATGTGGCCGAGGGTGGGCTTGTGACCCTTGATGGTTGGGAGGGACCACTTGAGGGTTGAGTTGCTGCTGCTCTCCTTACTGTGTGAATTTGCACCTAGCTGGCTCAGGGATAAAGTCCCCGGCATCTAGGGTACAGAATCGGCTGTCTTCCTGCTCTTTGGGGGGGCACATCTGGTGCTGCCATCCAGATCGGCCTTTATCAGGAGCAGGCCCAGTAGCTGGTGCCTGCTGCCTCTGCTCCTCAGCTGGCTCTTTGGCTTCCTCTTTGCCTTTGGACCTCATCCAAGATGATGGCAGGGTGGGCAGGAGAGCCACCCAGGTCGAGGTGGGAGCATTTTTCTACCTTCCTCTGCCACTCTTCCTCCTCCTTCTCCTGTTTCTTCATTCACAGGCAGCGCCGCCACAGGAAGTGGATGTGGGCCTGCTGCTCATTCAGGTCTTCGAGCTCCTGCTGGTTCTTCAGAATCTCCAACTCCAACTTGGACTCCTTGGTCCCATTCTCCAGCACCTTCACTGCTCAACCCCTTCTGCCCTCTCCTTCGGCACCCTCTTCTGCAGGAATTTCTTGGCCTGGAAGCATGTTGAAGCTGAACCTCAGAGGGGTGGCATCTGTGTTTTTGTTTTTTCAGACAGTCTGTGTGTCGCTCAAGCTGATCTTGAATGTGCCATCCTCCTGCCTCAGGCTCCCAAGTGCTGGGATTACAGGTGTGCACCACCACGACTAGCTCAGGGTCAGTCTTGAAGGTGGTCTCTGCCAGGCAGCAAGTGCACTAGATGTAGAGGCAGAAGATGGGCAGATCCAGATGTGCCTCATTCTGCACTGTCTCTTGGCGAGTGTTGAACTTCTTCCCATTGTGGATGTGCTGTCTGTGTCTCACCTTATGTCGAAAGGGGCCATCAACTGGACCAGGTACTGCAAATCCCTGGGTGGTTTGCTTTTGGGTATCCTTGAGTGATCATGTCAGACCAGTAGAATTTGTTTAAAACCTTTCACACCTATGTTTTTGCCTCCCATTCATCTTACAAGTGCCATAAGCTCCGTATTTTACCCACCCAAGTGAACTTGTCCAACAGTAACCTGTACTGGTAACATCATTTCCTTTCCCATGTGTTATTGGCTGAGGCATACAAAGCTTGCCTTCTTCTTTGGTTGTGATCTGATCTACTTCAACCTCTGAGTGCTTTTGTCTTCCTTCCGGAGTTGCAACCTTGGTAGTGTGAAATAAGAGCTCTGGAGGCAGAATTTGGAGACTGTCCGGGCAGGTGTTGTATATATCCCCAAGAAGTCAGCAGCAGCTGGTTAGAATTCTGTTGTGACGTGACATGGTTCCTAATTGTTCATTCTTTTATTTGCCAAATATGTATTAAATGTGTGCTCTGTATGCTCTGGGAAGCTCATTGTGGCCCCCTCACACATGAGGGACAGTAATGTTTTTTATATATTTAAAAAAATCCAAAGCAAATAGGCTGAAATAAATCATTATTTCTAGGCAGTGTGTACTTGGATATTTCTTTGTTATTTTACTGTAGTTTGAACATCTTTTTCCAGTCAAGAAGAAAACAAGTGTATATAAACACATACAATTCATATAATTTTAGGAGGTTCATAAACGTCTGAAGCCCACTCAATAGATTCTAAAAGTTTGTTTGTTTTTTTTGGTACCAGGGATCAAACTCGGGACCTTGCGCTTGCGAGGCAGGCACCGGAACCACTGAGCTAAATCTCTGGCCACAGATTCTAAAAGATTTTTAAAAATAGATTCTAAAAGTTGTAGTAAATACTGTTTTAAGATGAATATTGGGGTGAACAGTCAGTTTTGGATCTGTGTTAGGTTATTTTGATGACAGCTGACACACCGTTGAATCGATAGTAAGTTCCATCGATTGCTGTGTAATGAGCCATTAGGGGACATGTGCCAGGATGTTCAATATATCTTAGCATCTCTTAGTCATCTTTCCTCTCTCTGTTCTGTCTGTTGGGTTTTTGTGTAGCAATTTAAGCCCAAACTTGTGGCTTAAATGATAAATGTTTATTACTTCTCATGATTTTGTGTATTGGCTGGGCAGTTCTTACTGAAGCTGGCTTATCTGCTGGCTGTGGTCAGCTGGTGGCTTGGCTGGGAATGCGCGATCTGGGATAGCCTCACTCCCGGCCAGTCGTTGGCCCACTTTCAGCTAGGGCAGTGTAGATGGCTTTGGCCATGTTTCTGTTGTCACACAGGCTGGTCTGGACTTGTTTACATACCAGTGGTCACGCCACAGGATCACCAAGGGCAGCAAAAGAGCACAAGCTCCAATACACAGGCATATTAGAAACTTTCCCTTGCATGACGCTTGCAGTCATCCCCATTGGCCAAAGCAGTCACGTGGCTAAGTCCAGAGTCAGTGTGGAAAAGGCCACAGGCCCTGCTACAGCTCCCAGCCTGTCTTCTCTCTCAGCT